CACAAAGTAGAAGTTTGGAGCAAGATAATTTCTGCTTAGAACAGAGATGAGACTTCATGCTTGACAGATGGCTCTTCACTCGATAGGATGAGTCAGAGAGTAAAGCATACACAAATGAGGACTTGAGGCATTAACTCCGCCTTGCAATCACAGAGGACTTTGGAGCTGATATCTGAGCAGAACATCAAGCCATCAGAATTCTGAAGGAAGATGAGGAAAATGTCTTTCCAGATGTGCAGACAGCCTGGCATGGTCTGGACCTCAGCATTTCACATCTGTGGTGTATGTCCCAGCAACAAAGTACAGCACAACCTTCTGAAGCAGAGATCTCCACTCCCACCAGGGGATCCACTTAAGAGACCTCACTGGGAGTGAGGCTTGAAGAAACATATGGTAAGCTCCAAAAAGACCTGACCTCTATAAATCTGGGTAAGGCTGGAAGAGGATTTCCTAATGTTAATTCTTAAAAGCTTACCTGTGTCTGGGAAACAGGTTTAAGGGCGACATGGAAGTCTGCAGCAATGGCTGTGTATCGTATCATCATCATCATCATCATCATCATCAGCAGCAGCAGCAGCAGCAGCAGCAGCAGCAGCTGCCGCTGCTTTAGGTGTCCGATAGCATTACCCTGCCCCAGCACAGCCACCCCACAGCCTCCCATGGCATGGCTAACTACCACTTTTGCACATTTTAGCTTGGTCCTGGCACCTAGGGGCCATCTTCATAGCAATTTCATGCCATCTTCTGGGATCCTTACCAACGTTATTAAATTTCATGTCACTGAAAAGTGTTCATAGACCATCTGATTAGGCTGGTCTCCATGATCAAGAACCCAGGCACATTCATTCTCTCCTGCTCCTTACCAAGACATGCTAAATCTTGCAGTATCAGACCCATGCAGTTGTGCTGAAACTCAGTCTGGAACTTCAGACTTAGAGAGGAAGATACGAAGGCCTGGTGGTAGGGGAGTCATGCTATCTCATCTCTGAGGAGCTAACCTCGAAGTCTTCTGAGAGCATAAGTTACTAACATCGAAAAAAGCTTTGGAAATGGAAGGATCCAGTCAGATGTCATGTGTGTGATGGCCCCATTCTTCTTAAACCACGGTTTAGTTGAATGCTAGCCCTCTTTGAGTTCATTGGTCCTGGCTAGGTTTGTTTTATTGTTTTTTTTTTTTTAATTTGTTTTGCTTTGTTTTTTTTTAAAATCACTTGACAAAAGCTGAAGTCATTTGAGAAGAGGGAACCTTAATAAGGAAAAGGACCTCACCAAAGTGCCCCATAGGGAAGCCTATAGAATATTTTCTTGATTAAAGACGGATGCGGTGGTCCAAGGCCACAGTGTGTGTGGGGTCACTATTACCCTACGCAGGTTGTCCTGAGCTGTGTTAGAAAGCCAGTGAGCAGTATTCCTCCCGGTCCCTGCTTCTAGGCTCCAGCCCAGACTTGGGTGAAGGACTGTCATGTAGAAGTATAATGGAATGTGTAAGGATAAGCTCAAACTCTGCCCTCCCCAAGGTGCTTTTGGTCTTGCTGTTTTAAGCAGCAATAGAAACTATCACTAAGATACCATTTCTGTCAAGAACTACAGGATGAAAAGTTTGCATTCCACCACATACAAGATCTGTTGCAGCAAAGATGTAAGCACACATAGCCAGTGCCACCTGCATAACGAAGAGCAGGAGATGTCCAGAGAGAAATTGCCTGCCCTGTGAGGCTGGGCTTACATGAGGTTAATAGTGTGGGGGCAAGGCTGGGTTCCTTTACACTTTCTTGAATAGGACTGGGCAGAATGCATTTAGCCCACTGCATCATTTTAAAAGACAGTAGGGACTTGGCTGGATGAGAGATGGGTGGGGCTTTGAACTTCCCAGAAACAAACTGAGCTTTCACCAAATCTGCATGCAGCAAACAGTTCAGTTACTTGCTCCTCCATAGTACTTCCGGATTTGGGGACTGAGTCATAGTCACTTTCCACTCCTTAACTCCATGTGTTGAGATAACAGCTTTGTTCTACCCACCGCCCAGATGTGTTAAGCTCAGGCATACAGCAATGAACCCAGGTGACGGAAGATTACAAGGAAAACTCAAAACATGTGCCAAAGGATATATTCCCTGTTCAAATTTTCTCAGGAATTTTATCACAGCAACAACAAAAAAATCGAATAGATTATGTTAATGTGGGTCTCTATAAAAATAGATGGATGAGGTAAGAGACAGCATGGAGTTTTACATACTCAGGGACACTTGACATAAAATTAGCTTTTTGTTCATTGTGCCAATATTATACAGTTAATGTTTTTTTGATACAACCTATAGTTCTTTCTTGCCAAAAGGCCTTTAAAAATTGGCTTTACCTTCCTTTTATTATGGCTTCTAAATTAGAGTCGTTGCCTCAAATGGCCTTATTCACTCTAACAAATTCTATTGTGGCCTTCCATCTTTCTCAAGACCACAGCTCTTTAGTACATAATACTCTCAAAGCTCAGCAATAGTGTTCTGCAAAAAGCTGCATATGCTATTTCAAAAAGGTTTCCAATTGGGCCATTTCTCAACCCAATGAACTGTACCCTATCTAAGACCTATCAAAGGTTTTGTAACCAACTAAGGCAGCCTTCCTTTGGGGAAAATGCCATAAATAATTGACCTGTTGTGCAGAAGCTAAGGCGGCCTTCAGTCGGTTACAGCCACTGGTCTAGGAAACGCTCACGGGCTATGGACCAGATCGCTACTCACCCTACCACTGCACGGAGGAGTGTTCCACAGAAATGCAGCGACTGCGGTACTCGTGACTGAAGGAGAAAGTGCCGAAAGTTGTGCAAAAGTCAAACGCGTGCACTAATACAAACATATCCCCAAAATGCCATTACTGTGTGACTTCTTAAATCTGCCAATGTTTGGCTTTACTATTGTAAGGCCTGCTACCAAGACTCATACTTTCACCATTCCATCACCATCACCATCACCATGGGTCTTCCAATTCTGTATGGGTGGTAGCTCTCAAATGAAGAGTCTCTGAGACAATTTATAATAACATGATTTGGACTATTATAAACATTTCTATGAAAAAGTAAATGTGTGTCTGTGACTCAGCACGGTGTCCATGGGTAGTCTCACACCAGGTGGAAACATTCACTGTGTGTTTCTGAATGGATGATATGCAATGAAGAGCCTATCATATATGAGACAGCTGTGCTGTGGAATATATGCAGTGCTGATTTAGTGTCTATACTCCTTGAGTCAGAAAATCTAAAGACTGAACTGCAGAAGAGAGTTCATGAAGATACATGTGCTTTGTGGGGAATAAGCCTTCCTTAGCAGTGAAAAAAAAACTAAGATTCATTTATTTCTTTTTATAACTTTCTGTTAGAAAAATCAATTAAGCAGACAGAAAATTATTTGCAACTATTTTAAATTGTATGTGTGCAAACCCTACCTCTACTGCTTATACAATGAGTTGAACAAAAGTAATATTTTGATATCTAAAATATCTGATATGAACTATGAAAACCATCATTATAATTATCCATGTATGCTAACAAACTGATGAAGTTACAATGATCTGAATTCATTATTTATTCTTTAGTACAAAGGGGAAATTCTGTGACTCTACCAATGAAACATTTCTACTGGCACTTGAAAGTAAAGTGGGTACCCTAATATGGGGAACAGGGACTTTTTCTGACATAAACTCAATGGTGGGCTCTTTGACCTCCCCCCTCCCCAAGGGAGGAGCAGCCCTGCTAGGCCACAGGACTTTGCAGCCAGTCCTGAAGATACCTGATAAACCAGTATCAGATGAAAGGAGAGGAGGTTTTCCCCTATCAGTGGACTTGAAAAGGGGCAGGGAGGAGGTGAGGGAGGGAGGGTGGGGTTGGGGGGGAAAGAGGGAGCAGGATACAGCAGGGATACAAAGTTAACAAACTGTAACTAATATTAAAAAAATAAAAATTAAAAAAAAGAAAGTGATTTTGTTTTTCCAAAACTGCTTTCTATTCATACTATTGACGCTGATCTTATAAAGACATCAAACCTAAGACCCTGCAACTGTTGACCTGGCAAGGAAAAAGATGTTCTCAAAGATGATAGATATTTGTGTATATGAATTCCAATAAAAACAAAACACACAGTAGTAGCATCATATATTTAATGTCAAAGAATTTGAAGTATAAAAATTAAACAACACATGATTTCAACATTTAAAAAACATTAACACTTCTTACCCAAACAATGAATATCAAAACATAAATGAAGCATATAAACTATAAAAACCTTAAATATATTAACAGCAAAGTTATAATTTATTTCTGTAACAAATATCAACTAAAATATTTAGTTACTTTCAAGGACCACAATGGTAGACTAATTTTTCATTACAACTGCCAAAAATTTGTGTCTTAATCTTTTTTGTCTCATCATTTCTTTCTACATAATAGTTAGATGCTTCTGGTTACATAACTGTTCCAAACTCCACTATAGATAGCGATCCTTGGTAATCTAATCTAGTACAACCAGTGTCTTTAAGTACTTCAATATTTGTAAAATGCTGTTTTACAAAGTTGTTATATAAAACCATAAGTTACTGGAATCTTTTCAAGCTCAGGAATTAAAAACCCCCAAAGTTTACAAAGAATAGTAGTAGTTTGCTATCACTGAATAACTTTTAATTGCATGTTTGCAAATCCTACCACTCTTGGCATTCTGAATTATAGTTGATGTGGTTAAATATATTGTTTTTTAAGTCAAATGTGCAAACCCAATTCTAAAATACAACAGTATTTTAATTTTCATGCCTTACACAAAGAAATGTTTATACTAATGTATCCAGACTTTCTTCAGAAGAATGAGGCCTGATTGGAGATATATAGTCGTTGTCCAACATGGCTGCCATTAGCAAGTGATATTGTTGGTGACAAGGTATAGCTTGGATAAGAGTAAGGCCTTGAAGTATAAGGAAGCACGCTGGGAGTCCCAGAAGAGAGGGTAGCGCTAACAGGGGAAAGACTATTTATTGAGCTGCGACGGAAACTGTAGTCTGTAAATAAATATATGAACAATTATGCTGCACATCTTTGTGGGCACAAATTTAATTCAAAAGACAAAACATTCAAACAATAGTCACATCTTAACATAATGCTCTAACACCTAAATACCCAATGACACTGTAACAAAGCGGCTGCTCTCACTGCAGTGCAAACACTAACTCCCGTCAACTGGCAGCACTGCTTGAAAGGACTTACTACCGTGCTTCTTGGGTACCTTTTTCTTAACACAGGAAGAGAGAAGCTCTGGTTTCTCTTTAATCAATAAAGAAGCTTCTCTTAAACGTGGTTCTGACACCAAGGGTAGATCATAAAGAAAAAGATAAAAGAACAGACAATTCCGTTTCTTTTCTCTCTCTCTCTCTCTCTTTTTTTTTTTGGAAACTATATTAGGCATCAAACCAGCGTAAACATTTGCCCATAGACTTCTGGTAAAAACTAACTGTCCAAAATTTCATTATTTAAATGCTGGCACAAACATTTATATAACCAAACACATCAATTTAACATTAGTGTCTCACTGGTACCATAAACAGAAAAATGAATCATCTCTACCAAATGAACTTCAAAAACCATTATCAACTTAATAGTATAGAAAATTATCCAAAATTAACCAAATTATTAAAACAATTATATTTGGAACATTAATTTCAAACAAATGTTCATCTTATGTACCAATAATTTCCTGCTTCCTTAATTGTAGTAATTCTGTATGTGTGTGTTTTATTGACCAAATTTGTAGATCCTGTACTTTCCAAAAACTCAACTATGCTCTTTACTACAGTATAAGTCAAAGCGGTGACTGTGACTGTAAAGTGATCATTTATAAAAACCGTGGTATTATCACAATGGAAGAAATGGAATAAGATTATTTAATACACAGGTCAAGCTTTCCCCCTCCAACATCATTCACTATGAGGCCTAAAACTTAATGTTGTCATGGGACTTAATGTTTAACGAACAGGAATGAGACCAACTGCAGGAGAATAAGCTCAAGCAACATCAGAAAGGACCTATTTAAGAAAAAATAAAAAAAATGAAATTCAGTTGCAAATAGATTTAATTGCTAGCATTGTAAAACTCTAAGTAGATTAATTTTAAACTTAATTTTTATGAATGGTACCACAAGATCAACAAAGCAGCTTGTTTTAAGAAAATACAAACATGTTTTGAAATGTCTAAAGCAATGTTCAAAATATTTTGGGTATTTTTAAAACAGAGATTTCTTTGAAATCATTTGCTTTTCTAACATCAGATTTATTTCTTCTTTTCAAGATTCTATGTTACCCAAGGGCTCAAGTATTGAAATATAAACTGAAACATTACATGTTATATCTATTAATAACTGTCCTTTAAAAAGTTCTGAGTATTTCTTTCTGAAGATTATTATGCAAATACAGTTCCTTAATAGTCACATACCTCTAATGTACTTAGTTCTTCAAATTTCACTAATGTAGTCATCAACAACATGAGTTAGAAGTGACTTCAATAGATAGGAAATGTAGTTTTCAAACAGATATCATGATTCCTTTGAGTTTACATCTATTCAAGAAGTAATGGAGTCTACTTGTAAAATGTGAACTCAGAAGGTATCTCCAGCGGGGAAGACTTAAAAACTAGCTAGATATCTGGCTATAAGCGTAATGCTTAGCATTTCTGGCAGTCCTCTACCAAAAACCTTTAGCAAACAACAGTTCACTTGGTATATATTCTTTTTTTTTTCAAGAAAACTATACTAAATCCAAAATTAAAAGTGGACTCAACATTATTCATGTAAGATACTATGAGAAAAATCTCCAACTATAAGAATTTGACAAGGGAAAGACTTCAGTTAGATGCTTGTTAAGATTTCACAAACACATCACAAATAATTCTATTCTTAAACACACATGCTCTATGCTCATTCTTCTATAAACCTTTTGTGATGGCTTCTCTTTGCAATGATAAAAGGCTGGGAAAAGGGCTGCGGTGGTATGGGGTAGAGATACTATGCTCTCGAGTCCTTCACTGTAATCGTTTTGTATTCAGATAGTAAAATATGAAACTAGCAGTTGGTCACACCACATCTTCCACAACATATACACAGGCGGGTGGAGGGTGCTGTACACTGCATCTTGCTCTGACTCTGGCTGGCCTGGGATGCACTTTGTAAAAAGACTGGCTTCCTCTGCCTTGATCCTCCTACTTCTCCCTCTCAAATGTGATAACAAGTATGCACCACCAAACCTGGTATATCATTTTTAATTATAGCTACGTCAGTACACGATAGTGTTTCACTGCTGCCTTAATTTAGATTCTTTTACGACTAAATGTGCTCATTACAAATGTAAACATCATTGTTCAGATATGCTAAGTCTCTTGGCTCATTAACATTTGTTTTGTCTTTTGACTATTGATTCTAATAAACTTCTTACTAATCTAATTTCAAATTGAAAACTGAGAACAAGCTAAAACTTTCTATGTATTTAATTCAAATGACGCCAATTCACATAAATGACAAAGAAAAAGACAGTCGATTTAGGTAAGACAGATAGGTAAATGGATAAAGAACAAGTTAAAACTTTTAGAACTCCTGATTCCTAGGAAGGTATTATTTCCATCTGGCCAAGCTTTCATAAAAACCTTAAACAGGGTATTTAAAAGAAAACATCTCCAAAGGTCTCCATTTCAAATGGCCAGCAGAATAAAAGTCAAGTAAAGGTGCTGTTCTGTAAGCTGCCTGGATGTGACTTGCACCTATCCATTTCCACAACTTCCATTCTCAATGCATGTAGCATTTCATTTCCCTCTATCTTAAAAATTTTTGTAATTGCACTGGTAGTGGGAATCAAGCATGAGAATCTTCTAATATAATAGAGATTTCTTCCTTCCTTCTCCCTCTTCCCCTTCCAAAAGTATTTCATGGATCACAGGTTGCCCTTTCATATTTAGCCAAGGATAAGCTTGATTCTGATCCCTTTACCTCCTTTCCCAGTACTGGGAAACAGTCAGAAAGCATGAACAATAAATGCCTCTACAGACCAAAACGTGGCACACAAACATAAGGATGAAGGAGGACCACATATGAACAAAGTGTACTGACACTGAAATTAGTCTAGCTGCTCTTTTAAAGAAGCAAGAAGACCAAATAAAGCATATTGCAAGTTGTCAGTAGGCTCCCTGTGGACTAAGAAATCATAATGGCAGACTCCTTCTGAGGCTAGCTTCTAAACCATCTGGACAGCAGCCTCTACGAGCAAAACCCATGACTGAGCTAGAACAGTCTATGTTTCAGAACAAGCCCAAAGCTGTAGTAGCTCACTTGATAAAGTGTCTGAGCCACAGTGAAGAGAACAGACTTAGACATTTAAAGACAGCAACTCTTCCCAAGGTTCATTTTGTTGCTGTTGTTGCCAGTACCTCAGTCCTCACAATCAGTGTCCCTAGGACAAACTTTAAACCCCAAGAGGTTAAAAAAAAAGGTAGTTTTAAAAAAGCACTGGGTGTTTAAGATTGAGGTAAGATTTAAGACCTGTAAGTTTAGGAGATACAGTTTTGCTAAAAAAATAAGTGAGGATAAATTTAGGGTCTAAAATTTAAGTGTCAAAAAGAACAAACATATTTCTTATAGGCATTACTAATGGCAGATAATACTTGTCTAGCACTTAGTACATGCGAAAAATGACCATTCAGAATCAGCTACAACTGAAACCCTTTTGAAAGTACTGCAAGCATTCTCATTACACAGTGGTGAAGCAACCTACTTGGGAACACAGAATTACACAGGGATAATTCCTTTACATGCAAAAGGGGAATTTTTGAAAATTATCAACTTGAAGCCCCAGCCCACCTAAAACTCTCTTTCTTGAACCCTGGTTAGAAAACTAAACAGTGGATTGTTATATAAACAATTTAGTTAAAATATTGTTTTAATAATGTAGAAAATGTTCATTCTAAGCTTAGTTTGAAAAACACAAGATAATCAAAATGTAGCATTCATTCTAATTATATCTGATTTAAATTTTTAAAAAACCCTAGTGGTTCAATTTAGATATCAGAACATTGTCCTGTTGGAAAGTTTGAAATTATGTGAAGTATGGAAACCTGTTTAACTTAAAATTTTTTTTTCCTTAATGAGCCTATACCTAGTATATCTATTATAAACAAATGCTGTACAGGGTTTCATTTGGTATTTCCTCATAGAGCCATGAGAGGATTAGCTTAAAACTGCTTTTCTGAGAACTAAATATATCACAATATCCCTAAGAGATATTTTCTTACCTGCTTATTTCCTCCAAATTCTTCTACACAGGTCCAGGCTGAAGAGACTGTGTTCCCTGTCTGTAAGCAGTGAAGACAGAAGAGAATTGAGTCTTTAGATTGATGCTATCCCTATCTTGGAAGTGCATGGAACCCTTGATAACTTTATTTTAAACTTTTTAATTGGTAAATAAAAAAAAAAAACAGAAAAAAGGACAACTGACAAACAGGTATCATTTCTGGACTCTGAAAAGATGAACAAAGAGAACAGTATTCTGATATCTAAATGAAAATCATGAGTTAGTACATCATAAGGAAAAACATTTCTAGGTCAATCAAGTTCTTACTCATCAGTGTATTAAAAAATATTCCCCTATTAAAATAAAAATAAAGTGAGGCTGCATAATTTCAGAAAGCAGAGAAATATAAGCCAATTCAGGAGCTGTAAATGCTCTCTCTACAGGCACAGTTACATGAAGTATCATTTCCTTCCTGTTTTCAGAAGAGAGAGATGGCCAAAACCTTGCCTGACAAGTCAATTTTCCTAGGAAACTACTGTAACTACACATATCTCCACTGTAACATCCAATCATTTTAGCCATCATTGTTTCATATCACTTGAACCTTTTCATCAAGAGTATATATCCAACTCCATAAGAAACTGCATAAAAGTATGCACAAGTAAAACATGGCTGATGATCTCCAAAAACACTATAGAGTTTAAATAATACTGTAAAGACAATTGAGTACAAAAATTTCACAATAACGTGTTACCACGTGATGAACTAAACTAGGTAACATTAATCATTTTTGTTTTTAAACACATTTATCTAAAGATATTGACAACAGCTAAGGGAATAACAAATTATTGAGTCATGATCTTAAGACACTTTGCAAATCCAAATAAATACACTTTTCTTTGGGAAATGTCTTTGTCCCTGTAAGGATTGGTAAATTTGCAAAAGGAAGATGATAAACAAGGGAAAATTATGATACATAGAAAAATCACTGGAGCTCAGAGACAATAAGCTGAGGAGGAGTTCCTGTTGAGGCAGGGCTGACCCTGGTGAAAGTGACCAGCAGACTAAACTGGACAAAAGTAGAACATCAAACTGAATGAACTGAACTTAGAAACCTTCTCAATTCCCACTAGGAATAAGACAATTTTGTGATGTGATTAAAAAAATAACTCCTCTCTGAGTTGAGGTAATATCATGTTAGACTTCCAATTCTCTATAATTTTCCATATGTAGGATCCGGCACTCAATAAAAATAGTAATACAAGAAAATAAAGCAGATCAGGTAACAGAAATAGAATCTAACAGCCGATAGAAACAGCAGTCAACAAAAACATATCTCTAAGATATTTATATAAAAAATTTCAAGCCTTGATATTAAAATAATTATGTCAACAATGGCACAACCCCCCACATGTATACCAGTGGAAAAAGAGCTCATTCTTGCCAGAGATGCTTGCTAGTGTACATCAGAGGAAAGACAGCGATGAGAAACTGAAATTCTGTTATAAGTTAAAACTAAACCTCTATCTTCCACACTGTGTGTGTGCACGTGCATGCGCGCGCACACACACACACACACACACACACACACACACTCACAAAACCCCAATTTAAGATATATCAAATATGTAATGTAGCTGAAATTTCTAAACTATAAGGGAAAATATGTCAAGATATAGGAAGTGACTTTCTAAATAGCTTAGGGCACAATGACAAAAACTGGCAAATGAGATTGCCAGAAGAGCAAAGGCAACAGAAAATAAAAAGAGTGACTTCCAGTACAGGAGAAATCTTTGCCGGCTATTCAACTAAGAGGGAACTATTCTCCAAAATTCAGAGAATTCAAAGAATTAGTTATCAAAAGAACAAATCATTCAACCAATAAATGGGCAAATGAATTAGACTGTAAATATAAATGGCCAATAAATTTATGAAAAAAATGTTCAGCATCTTTAGCCATCAGGAAAATGTAAATGCTTACAAAGACTAGGGATCCTTATCCCTGCCAGTAGGGGTACTATGACATTCAGTACGAGGCTCCTCAAAAACTAAGAGGGGTCACATGATCCATCTATACCAAACATCTGGGATATACCAAGGTATTCTGTGCCTGCACACCACAGAGTATCCGTACATCCATGTTTCTCCTGGGATCTACACTGTGGGAGAACTGGTTCCTGGTTCTACCCTCCTATGGATGTCACACCACGTGTTCCCATACATATGTACACACATTCATATACACACACACACACTCATCCTACAGCTGGGATACAAACTGAATAAACTGTAATTAATATTAAAAATAAAAATTCAAATTAAAAATTCACATGTATACAATAATTAAATGAAAAAGATACTTGTAAATAAACCATGGCACATACAAGATAACGTATGGGGCTGGTGATAACCATGTTGCGTGATATTAACTCAGAAAGATAATCATCACATTTTCTCTTATATGCAAACTCTAGACTTAAAAGCAAAACCCCATGAAAGTAGTAGTGACACTCTTTGGAATGCGGAAGGGATCAGTGGGGCGGCTGAGGAGTGAACTCACTGAGGAGTGAACAGAGGGTAGGGAGGAGGCCACACTCAGCTAGCATGAGTCCAGAGTGAAGCCTACTTATCTTGTGCAATCACTGCTCAGCAGGGGTCAACGACCTGCGTGCCGCAAGTGTGAGGGCCAGCCTGGAGGCCCCAGGGTCACCCCGGAAGGATGGAATCCCAGAACTTGGAGCATGAAGGCAGGGTCCTCAGGGCAAGCTATCAGAGGAGGAGACAGACTGGACAAGAGGCCCAGCCTCAATAAATAGACACGACTGAGGCAGACGCCAGATGTCAACCTCTGCACTCCACATGCAGACACACCTACACATCCATGCAGTGAAAATACTCATACACACACACCTACAGAGCACATATGAGAATACACTAATAAAAAATAAATGGCAATAAAAAATAGCTATGCCTAATATGCTTGGGAATTTGAAGGCTAAAATGTTTAGAAGAAATTGGAAATCCTAAATGGAGGTGGATATGGTGACACAGGTGTGTAAAATCAGCTCTGCATAGGCAGACTAAGCTATAAAGCAAAACATGATCAAAACAAGTAAATAAAGTAAAATAAAATTCCAGAGCTGAGAAATCCAAATCAATGTTTCTTATTGGCACACTAAAAAAGAAATACACAGACGGAACACTCAGAAAGGTGGAAAATATTGACGTAAAGTATAAAGGTCTATGAGGTGTACGCAGATGATAAAAGCAAGGAGAAATGGAGAATGGTGGCATCTGAAGACAGTCCTAGACATTTCTAAGACAAGTAATAATACTTGTTAATGTGGCAAGAATAACCTTTCAAACACCAAGTATATGAAACATGAAGCTGAGCCAATTCCATATAGCCACACAAAATCAGAATGTTTTCAGATAGATGTTCTTACTTTTAAGGTTTATAAACAAAATTGACGACTGTTACCTAGTTCACCGTATGGAGCATGTGGCACACAGGCCACTGATTGGCGCCAATGCGGCACTGCAGAGGCATGGAAAAAAGGCATTCCTCCTTAACTGTGAACACATGGAATGGGGAGCTGGCTTGGTAAGCCTGATTACCTGAGTTCAGATGCCCAAAACCCCTTCAAAAGCTGGATGCATTAACAAAAGCTTAAGGGGAAATGGTAACAAGAGACGAGAGCATCTCCAAGCAGCTCCCACAACATGAGCAAAGCATGAGCAAAGACCTTAACGATTTACAGATGTGCTGGTCGAATTTAATTCACAACATATTAGCAATTACTAATGTATTCTGAGAAACATTTTTAGGAGGTTATTTACTTTTCAAGAGACTAGTGAAAATAAAAGGAACGTCAAAAAGTCAAGAATAGAATAAATGAGTCAAAAACAGGCAGTGGACCTCTTCTTTGTAGAAGGAGAGTCACTAAATGTGTTACTTTTAATTTTGTATTATGTGGCAGAAAGATTAAGTAGAAAAGCACTATAAAGTATCTTATCTCTGGTTCTGTTCCTCTGGCCTTCAAGTACATATTCATTCATTCATTCATTCATTCATTCATTCATTCATTCATTCATTCATTATCTCTCACACACAAATAGTATGCAGAAACTGCCAATTATTTATTATTTTTAAAGTTAAAACAAAGGTTGATGGTGTTAATGTTCCAATTATATTGTTTTAGTTTGCTTTCTATTATAAAGACCATGATCAAAAGCAACTTGGAAAAGAAAGGTTCATTCCATTTTACAGTCCTAATCACAGCCCTGGAAGTCAGGGAAAGAACTCACAGGCAGGAACACAGAGGCCAGAACTGAGGTAAAGACCATGGAGGGATGCTGCCTACTGACTTGCTTTTCACAGCTCATTCACTCTTCTTTCTTTTATAGCCCAGGACCACCTGCCCAGGGGTGGTACCACCCATCAATCAAGCTCACAAAACTTCATCAATCATTTATCAGGACATGTCCTACAAACTTGCCCACTGGCCAATCTAATGAAGCTATTTTCTCACCTGAGGTTTCCTTTTCCCAAATAACCCTAACTTGTGTCAATTTGACGAACAAGCAAACAAACCACTACACATACACTGCACACACACGTTGCATGCACACAGCCAGACACACACAAGATACAAGATATGCAATCGACTTATACGTCTACATACTAAGTGACTATACTATTCTAGACCACATCTGCTGACCCACAGCAAACCATGTTTCCTGAGGTGCTTTAAAAGCTAGTGAAACCATAATCATCCATTCCTCCACTGAACATATAAATTATAAATGTCCATTTTACATATAATATACATATATCCAAATCCATGTGTTCAAGATTGCTCATAACTGAGCAATCACTTTATGATCATTTTGAAAATTACTCACTCAGTATTAACCACCATTCACCATCATTCAACAATTTAATTATTCCTGTGTCTGAGCCTGCCAACTCCATATCATGGATATTTCTTTTCTAATTCTTTCTTTTTTCTACCCAAGGCACAGCCAAAATTGATTTTCCTCAGACTCTTTCAACCTTAT